AAATACTTTGATGTATTGCCTGCCCTTCACCGTAAGGTCTTGGGGTGGGTTGCAGCAATTTAAAATACAATCTTATAAAACAGTTGAAAACAAATGGCAGTCACAAGAGTAGGCTGGTTCCTAAAAATCTCTCTCTCTGGGGTCAAAAGCCTGAGTAAAGAAGTGCATCTTCAGTGTGCAACACAAACTGCTTAATGAAAATGCTAGGCACAACTCTTCGGGGAGGAAATTCCACAAATGAAAACTTTATGGCTGACGGGTTTCACATACCCCTTGTTATAATGGCTATTAGCACAGACTTCAGAAACAGACTCACAATAGGACTTAAATTGGCTGTGTTTGGACATAACTTTGTACAAGGCAGGCCTGTTTCCCCCTTCTGGCATGATCATGAGGAGATCCATCTCCATTTAGATGCATCACAGTTCAGCATAAGCAATGGTTAATCCAAGTTATAGTTAAGATTAACAACAATTATAAGCAGCTTCATAAAACAATGGTTAGCAGTTGGTTTTCCCCTAACCGTAGTGAGCGACAGTTATACCATAGTGTGGGATGGCAAAAACAAGCTGCAGTTAAATTAAAACAGAAGCAACAACTCTCAGACGCCTCCCTACAGCTGTTGCCGGAGGCAGCGGTGGTGGCAGGGAGTGTGCACTGCAGCGCCGTTCTCATGGCGCTAAGCTTGGATTAGCTTTGGATCTGAACAAGCCCACAGTTTCTCATAACAGAGTATTGCTACAAATCTAATGTTTCTTGTATGGCTTTGCAGTCACAACGATAAAAATAGCACTCTGCTTTTTTCTTTTTTAATCAGCTCATGCTGCAGATACCAAGTCTAAACATCGATCTTGTTTGTTGTAGGTGTTGCAGTGTATACAGAGAATGGAGACGAAATGGCATTAAATTACAAGAGTAAATCACAAAACGATCAGCAGTAGAAAAGTATGTGTCCTGCAGATTTTCACTGACTGGATAATTGTAATGCTTTAGAAGAATCATCTAGGGTATTGTAAGCTGCAAAACTGGAAGTTTTAAGTGCTAATTTTCGGGAATGGAAAAATAATCCTATTGTAACCTCTTAAATTTCTGAAGAGAACTGAGGTGTTGTGCTGGAAAATGACATGAGAATTTGGCCTTCTGTATTTGATGTGAAGACAGGAGTGCCTGGCCTGCTCTTCTCCATGGGTCACGAAGAGTCGGACACGACTAAACTACAACAAAACAACAACAATATTTGACGTAGTCCAGAGTATTTTAGGACTGATCAGCCGTGTCTACTTGCCCTTCACTCTCCAAGGATTTGCTTTGCTGCACTTTCTGCTTAATGAGCCTGTCCTTCCAAATCCCCCATAGCCATATTGTCTTTCCAGTCCCTTTCCTATCTAGCTGGGAACAGAGGATTTCTCCTCCTGACTTTGCATCCCTGTTCCTCATAGGGAAAGAGCAGCGTTCTTCTTGCGCAACCAGAGTGGTTAGAAAGAGGGGAGTGGAATACAAAAAGGGAGGTGTGAGGAAGTCGTGAAATTAAGCGAACGAAAGATATGACATTGAAATTGTTTAATATGTTTTAAATGGTCTTTGTTTTGTTTTATTTGTCTTATGTGTTAGTTTTTGTAGTTTTGTATTGTATTGTGTTGTGTTGTTTTTTTTTTTTTTGTTGTTTTTTTTGTAGTGTTTAAATTTAAATTTTTGGAACTCAATAAATATTATTTAAAAAAAGAAAAAGAAAACAGGAGGGGAACATAAGACTGAACAGTCTTCCTTTCTTCTGTCCTGAGCAAGATATTCTTCCTCTACTGTGGCCGATTTTGACCTCTGGCTACAAACTAGAAGTCATATTCACGCAAAGACCGAATCACCCTCTATTTTTTAACTGGAGTTGCTTATCTCCATCCACAAACATGCATGGGGATGTGTTTTTGGAGCAATGTATGGTTGTGTTTGAATTGTGCCCAGTCTTCCATGCTTGCTATGAAGCTTTTTTCACAGGGTTATTGCCATCCTGTGGATATTTGTGCATTAAATGGGCACCCACCAATTTTTGTTTCCTTAGGTCTATGAATTCCTTTTTGATTATCTATCTAATAATCCTCTCCTTTGAAGCAATCTTGAGTACAATATTGAAATATGCCTGGCAGTCTGAAGAAAAGTGGCATGAGCCTTGGTATAACCAGCAAACTGATCATGAAAGAAACAGCAGCAAGGTACAGTGTAAAATTATGTGCACATTCTAGGTGATTCCCCCCAGTGGCGTAGCGTGGGGGGTGCAGGGGGGGCCGGCGCCGCACCGGGCGCAACATCTGGGTTAGGCAAATCCACGGGTTAGGGGGCGCAAATCCACAGGTTAGGGGCACAAACCACGGGTTAGGGGCGCAAATTACTTGCTTGCCCCGGTGCTGACAACCCACGCTACGCCGCTGATTCCCCTCTACCCATGCTGCCTTGCTCCTAGTACTAGAGGGTGTAGTCATGCTGCTTAGACAGTTACTTGCTCAGGGATTCCTTCTCTTCACTTCTAGGGAGCAGTAGTGCCAGAATGTAAGTTTCCCAAGTTTTGAGAGACATCCCATTGTTTATAAGCCATTTTGCACATTGAGTAACTGATACTGGCATTGGTTTTGTCCATGCACTAGCAAAGTCTACAGAGGCATATTAGCCTAATGAAGTTATACTCAAGAAGCAATGGTATCATAGGAAAATGGCGCACTATACTGCAACTCCTATGCGTTCCCCGAGCCACTTTAGACAAAGTCCGAGTTTACCAGATAATTTCATAGCCAAAGGTTGTAGTTTTTTTAAGACTTGTTTGGCACGGGTATTTGATTATGCTGTCAAATTGCACGGCCCAAATCGACTTTCTACTTCTCCAGGAGCGTCTCCACGAATATGATCAGAAGAAAACTCTGCGACTCTATCATGTATACTGGACGCAGCACTGGAACACTCACACTCTCACCACATCGTCCATACGTTGAGGTCATTCTTGGTCCCGGTCCAGAGCGCAGTCAATCACTGAGAACTCTTCGAATGACCCTCCTAACTGACTCCCAGCCTAGTGCAAGCTGTCGCGAATCACAATATGGAAACAGAGTAAAACAATGTGCTCTCCTCCAGAATCTCGCTACACAGGTGGGACCACCAGGGGTGATGTGGCCGGAAAATAAGCCCACCCGGAGGGAATAGGCATAAACGCAATTAGTAGACTCTTTCGAATTGTGCTCAAAGCTTATTAGCTTTGAAAACCTTTGAGGAAACCTATATGCTTGACCTACGCACTGAACCTAAAAATGAATGAAGAGTGAACTTCGCACTGCTGCTGGAAAAGCCAATATCCTTTATCCCGGCGAGCAGCAGAGGGCAGGGCCAGGGGCACACGATTTGGACGCCAAAACCCGCCTATTAAAATGAATGGTTCTGCTTAAGACTCGCTGGTGCCCAACTCTATGTCATATCATGGAAGACCGACAGCCCCTTCGTCTATGGCGCATAGTTCGGAAAAACAGCTGGGTACGCGACGACTGCGAGTCTATACAGGGCACACGATTGCACGGGGTTGACTGGGCCTCACGGATAAAACGCAAAGAACCCGACTATGCGAGACCTTTGCACCCAATGTATCCAAAGCCACGGCAAGCCTATGAGCGGTGGCACCTTGGTGGGACTTCGGGTGGAGTTGCATCCAGAATGCTCCTCTCGAGAAGATCGGCAGACCCGGGCCCAACACCCTCACCCCTAAGGACTCCGGAGAATGGGTGGGGGGACGCGGGGGAACGAGCTTTTTTTACTGTTTTGGACTTGAAAGATGCATTCTTCTGTTGCCTGGCTGGCACCACAGAGCCAACCTATGTTGCCTTCGGCTAGCTGTGAGGGGTTCATCGCTCTTTCTGCAGAGAGGACCCTTGTGACCGACAGAGGACGAGCAAACTGTTAATTTTAGGGCAATGAGCGCTAACTGGGACAAGATTTGCCCCGACCATTGTCTTGCCTGGAACTTCATCACAGAGACTTGACAAACATTTACCCAGTGTATCAGTATCCACTTTATTTGGCGAGTCCTCTGTGCTACATTTGGAAACTAAAGTTTGCTCTGTAAATTTGCGCTAGAGAGAAACCGGGAGTATCACTAGAGAAAAAAGGACATACCGTCGTTTTCACGGCTCCTGCCTCTAGCAAGATCAGAGCCAAAGAACTATTGAAGATAGCCGTGAAGCGCTGGTAAAAAGAAACTGTTCAAAGTTGGCACTTTCGGTAGAACTATAAAGGGTTATGTAATTTCGGTTTTTTACAAAGAGAAAAAGTAATGATATAGGAATCCTTGTTATCACACCTCTTTAAAGATGACTTTGAGTTAAATTGCAGTTATCCTTCCATATTTTGTACGGCAAGAAGCTGTGATAATATATTGAAGAGCTCATCCTGTTAGATAGCGAGAGGGACAGCTTGAACAGAACAGGTAGATACACAACTGTGTTGCGTCTGAGGAACGTGCTGTGGAACTACTGTCTTATCTGAAGTATTCCTCTAGAAAACATAGGGCCTACTAGTTAGTGTATTGAGAACAAAGTGGATCACTGGAAACTATTTTTTGGGACCTCCTGTGTGATTGCAGACCAACTCTCATCTTCTTTGAACAAACTTTGTTAATTTTTAAAAGCAAGACACTCGGAGGACATTTCTTGATGGTTAATTGACTGGATGGGACTACAGTGATGTTTGAATAGAACATGGGAATTAACAATAAGTTACTCTTTAATGGCGGGGAAAAGCTCTCTCTTCTTGCCTTTGGAAATTTAGGGTGGCACTCCCTCTAGAGGACTTTGGAATTTATAAAGGCCTGTGCCGCAACCTGCTTAAGGAATATATTTTTGACTTTCTCTCTATGGATTGTTTTAAAACTGGATCTGCCTTTTCCCCACTGGCACAATTAGTGGATCAATCTGACTTGAACATGACAGATTGCCATGCTAAGGAAACAACTCAGGAGGGTAGGAACAGCAGCAGGGAAGAACAAAGATCAGCTAAAGGCTAAGGAAGCTAAGGAAAAAGAAAAAGAAAAAAACCTGCTCAACTTTGTGTACATACATACCTCTTGTACTAAGGGCGTCTAGATCATTCATCCTCTGGGTTTCACACAGCTGCATGGCGGAGGTCACAACAGGATTGGGTGTGGTAAAGCACTCTGAAAAACATTTGGAGATAAGGAACCTCCGTGAGTGAGGTAGATAATGCAAGTACTTGGTCCTAACAGGCGAAGGCGATCTTTAGAATGTGTATGACACACATCAGTACTTGAGTGACAGAAAAGATTGAGTCAACCTCTCATTATAATCAAAATCGTATTGGGGACTGTGTGGACAATGCCAATCACTAAACATTGCCAAGCTACAGCTCATCGATCCAGATAATTGACTGACCAGGTTTCCAGCACACACAAGCCACACATAGGAAAGTCATTTGAAGGACGCACATGCTAAATAAATCGGATAATATTAGTGACTGGGGAAGCGATTGAATAAAGGCAGAGTTTTTAGTAGTACGAGGGATACAACGACTGGTATGTGCGAGGAGAGAATATTAAAGGAGAAGACACCCAGCCATATGTCAGGCCTCTGCACAAACAGGTAGGGAACAAACAAGCCTATCTGTCAATGGTGGAATACTGAAAAACCGGGAGAACAATCTCAGACTTAGGCGCCATCCCAGAACTTGAACAAGGAGATTATCGGTTATTATCTGACAACAGAAGTTCTCCAGTCTTGGGCTATTCAAGGACAGGACACTGTAGTTTTAAAATTGTGTATCGCTTTTCAGACTGGGAAGATTGGTTAGGACAATCCAGAGACTGTTTGAATAATTCAGCATCAAGGCGGCAAAGAGAGGACAAGTATATTCAGGCGCATTAACTTCAAAAAAATACAAAACTCCTTCAAAAAAAAAAAAAAAAATTTGATAAATAACAAGCAAAAGAAGGTATAGGAAATATTACAAGAGACATACCGAAACAGATATATTGGACCTTAGAAGTACCACCAATAATTTAACAGAGACTAGCAAAGTTTGTTGAGACACAAACGAATTCTTACAGAGGGAGTTCCCCACAAGGACTATCTTTTACCTTCAAATGAAAGAAGAGAGTTAAAAATATATAGAAACAACAGAGGAAAACCCTTTTTCAGCAGTGAACCAGCAAAAGTTTCCTGCACGTACCCATGGAGAAGATCTCCAAAAGGAGCCAGAAGCTAGCGGTTGTGCCACTACCATCAGCCGGAAAACCTAACACCGGCCTGGTGGCGGACCAACGCCCCACACTCCTCAGGCATCAGAGGAAAAAGAAGACACACCCACTTTAGGACCCAACAAACTCTTAGAACAGGATGTCTCTGCAGCTATTACAGTTGGAATATAAATGGCGGAAATTCCCCGGAAAAAGAAGGGTATTCCATTTGTAAGGATTAAGACAAGTTGGTATACATTATTTGATGAACACGTGTAATCAGGGACACACATGTTGGCTAGGCTCCAGCCAGGAAAGTGTGGTAATCTCACTCTAGGCCCGCAATTGTTAACTCTTTTAGTTCATTCGCACAGAAAGGGATCTAAAGGAAAAAAGGAGAGGTGAGTGTGGAAAGGCCGTGATTACTCATGACCAAGGGAGAGAACTCCTTGTCACCACAAATTTCTGTTCAAGTTTATGAGAATGAACAAATAAACAATTGGATTGGCGATCGAAGATCAAACACAAGGGAGAAAAAATTTTTTGATATTAGGAATTTACGCACCAAATGACGGGAAAATCGAGAATTTTTCAAAGAGGCTGCATAAGACCATGTGGACTATTTGGACTATTCTACATCATTATGATGGGGAGACATGAATAGGGGTGCGTATCAACAAATATGGACAAAGCTCAAAATCAAACATAACAACAGACGGCAGACTGCTAAAACCTTTTTTTCGAACTGTACTCACAATATGGAACTTGATTTGATAAGTATGCAATGAAAGAGAAGCGAATAAGAAGCGCCCTAGGTTAAAGAACGCTGAACACCTTTACTCGTTTCTGGGAGGCTAACGCCCGACGCCTGATCATGGACACGAAAGTAATCGACCAAATGCGAGTGGAGCACATCTACGTAGGGCCTGGCAACTACATGTGGATCAGAGCTAGAAAGGATGTAGAAGAGATTGACTGCCTCCAAAAAAC